ACGGACGGCGAGATCATGACCTGAGCCGAAGTTGGACGCTTAACTTTCTAAGCCACCCAGGTGCCCCCAGAGAATCAAAATTTCTTTAAAGAACCTGTATTATTCTAGTAAGTTTTCATTTAAAAATCATTTGGCTGAAGAATAGAATGAAAGGCAGAGACAGAAAATACTTTTAAAATTTAGTTCATGGCTAAATAAAAATAACAATATTCTCTAATAATTATAAAAGCCAACGAATAAGTACAGTTCTATTTAAATGTATCTTTTTAATGTAAGTTTGAGAAACACTATAGTGAAAAAAGCAAGATGTGACTATCACCAAATATATCCCTGTCATATGAAAATGGAGTGTTAGGGAATGGGTTTACAAAGCTCAATTAATTGAAGAAATACTCAGCAACATTTTTTTTCTAAATTTTATTGAAACCATAATCCAGTAACAAGTAAAGAATACCAACAATTTTCTATAACATTCTATAACAAAACTGACTGAGCCACTCAGAAACATAAAAAGCTAACATGTTAATATGTGGTATTGTAATTATAATTATTTTCTTGATTCTTCCAAAATAGAATTCAGTGCTAAATACCGAATTAATGTAATCTGGCCCAAGTGCATAAGCCATTCCTCACTTAATAAACATGAGTTTAAAACATTCTTAAAGGCAAAATAATTTGTTGTTACAGTATTCACACTTTCAATTACCAAGTAAAATACCCATGTGACCCAGTCATTCATTATAATTGCTTAAGAAAATGGGCAATAATAATCCAGGAGTGGATTGTTTAATGTTTTAAAATATTAGAGTCATGTAGTATTAACAAGTACCACCCCCAAAGGTTTTGTCTTTCCAGAAGTCAAATATACCCACCCATAATATATTTATCATGATGCTGTGACAAAACACATCATATTTAAACAGTTGATTACATGAGCTTGATGTTCTTCTTACCCAAATAGGTGTATGAAAGTGTTATGGCTGTGTATTCTTTACCACTTACCCCTCCCAAAATGTCATTAAGAAGCCTTGTGTATCCTGGGGTAGTATTTCTCAAACATTAGTATCGTCTTAGCCTGTTCAGGCTCTATAACACAACACCATAGACTGGGTGGCTTAAACAATCAACGTGGTATTTTTCACAGTTCTGGAGCGTGGAAGTCCAAGACCAAGGTGGTGACAGATTTGGTCGGTGGTGTGGCCAGCTTTGTTGGCATGTAGACAGTGTTAATGCAAGTAAGAAAGAGTAAGCTATTTCCTTATTGAAGGTGAGTTTTGAGCAAAGACAGTAAGTCCAGCTCATAATAGATATTTAAACAATCTTGATATAGTTATGTAATATTAATTATACTATATATTTAGATGTGTTTTCTTTCTTTTTTATATCTGTCACTGTAGAGTATAGCTGAAGTGAAAAACCCAAGAATCAGATAATCTGGATTTTAGTTCTGCCTCTCACATGGCTTCTGTGACCTTATGAAAGCGTTTAACTACCCTAAGACCAAGTTTTTCAGCAAGCCAAAAATATCTACTATCTCGCCCTCTGCAGAAAAAGCTTGCCAACCCCTGGTGCAGTTGAAAACACAATCCATGGACTAGAATGACAGAGGATTTCGGTAGGGATCCTTTTGCTAAGTGGTCCTGGAACAAATAAGGTCATGGCTCATCTCTGCTTTCCTTTCCAGCTTCGCTGAGAACCACTCCATCCATGCACTTCTTGCTTTTTACTTCTGTTACATAACTGGTCACATTTCCCAAATAAGCCTTGCTCTCCCTTATTTCTGGAGCTTTGATCCCTGTTGGAAATGCTCCCTCGACCCCCCACACCCTTTCTCCCACACACGCACCATCCAGTTCTCCCCGTGCCGCCTCCAGTCCCAGGGTTTGGATAGGTTTCCGTCTTGAAGCTTCAGCAGCACTAATGACCCACCAAAGCGCTCTAAACCAGTTTGTTTTCTCCATTAAACTGAGATCCTTACCGCTAACATTTCAGCACCTGGCAGAGCACAGGATTTCACTTAGGAGGCACTTGATGAAGAGTTATGGTATGAGTGAGTGAATGAGTCACCGTGAGCTCTTCCTGATGTGCAAAGTGCATTCCTGAGTGGATGGAGTTAGTAAAGGCTGAAAATATCAAACAATAGAAGACATAGAATTCAATATTTCACAGGTGTCTGGAGGGACTATAATTCCTACGTGTAGAAGCAGTAAGGGAAGATCCTGGTTTACCTGACACAGCAATGAGATTTTGCCTCTGGGACTGGCCAACACTGTTTGGTTAATACATTTTTCTTTACATATGTTAATACATTCCATCAGGTTAGGTGATTTGGCACATCTCCGCTCTGATTCATTTTCGTTTAACTTCCTACAGGCAATCTGACTATTCTTATTTCCCAGTTCTGAAGGGAAGGGTATAGTACTGATAATTTCTATATATTCTTAAAAGTCTGTATATAAAATAAAACCAATATATAACATATTTATTATACTAATAGCTCACTCATATTTCTATGATCCTAAGAAAAATTTTTCAAAAGAAAAATATGTCATAGAGCAGATAATTTACAAAAAGTTTTATAATGTAATGTGAAGAAATAATTCAAAACATAATAAAAGTTAACAACTTTGGAGGTTATTTTTGTTTTGTTTACTGTGGGCTTATTTTGAAAGGAGGAAATAAAACATAACTATAATAAATATCTTAGAATAGAGAAAGAGTTGATTATTATATATACGTTAAATGAGGAGTTTTGGGGGCATTAAGCATAACATCAAAAGATCATGTAGAAATGGAAAAACACCTCTAAAAGAAAAAAAAAAAAAAGAAATGGAAAAACAAAGATGATAATATAAGTATTATACAAAAAGACCAGAAGTACCCAAGGAAATTACAGTAATTTTGTATATGGGGCAAGAAATTGAATATATAATCTTTTCCTTCTTTTCTGGAATTGCATTATTTTAAAAACTAAGATTCATAAAAGAAGTGGTGGCTGGAGAGTCACTAATGTCCTTACTGTTGTAAAGGGTCAATGACTCAAAGCTGAAATTCACAAAATTGAGAGGAAAGAACAAGCTCAGAATGAGAGAGATATAAGGCCATTCATGGAAGGAACACACACAATATTGTCTGCTGTTTGTGCATAATATATATGTAGCAAATGTATAAAACCAGAAATGGAAAGAGACATATACATTCCAAGATAAAGGTTCACCCTGGAAAAGCTAGGGACGCTGGCATAAATAGGGTC